TCTCCATTTCCTGATGATGCCAAAGATATGTCTGTCCATCACTCTGTTTGCTTGTGATATTGTGAAAGAGCGAGTGTCTGTAATTCCAGCCACGGGTCTCCGTTTCCTTCCTCAGGACAGTGGAGGCTCATTGAATTACCCAGAGCTGTGCGATACAGCTGGACAGAAAAACACAGGCAGCACGTGTTCTTCCTGCATGGCATATTTTCTTCTTCTTCGAGCACCTGATTTAACAGCTAATGTCAAGAGAGATATAAAGATCTAAAAATATATATCAGCTGACAGTGATGTCCCTTTTAAATCAATTTTTGTTTTGTTTTTGCAAAATAACTCAAGAAGAACTATTGCAAATCAGGTGCAGTGAAGCCATCTTGCAACGTGTTTAAAGGCTGAACCCTTTGTCATAATTGAGTGCCAAGCGCACACAAAGCTAAAACACTTAACATTCTGTAAATAAGGCGAAACAAAGGATAAGCTTCCAAGATATCACTTCCTATGTGACTCATGCTGCTAACAACTCATTCTTATCCTGCAAATGAACGTTCACATAAGGGCACACTCAGACACCCAAAGTGAGAATATAATCTATTAGCATTTGAGGACACATTCAAAAAGATACGCATAGCATAAGTGCAGTTGCGCAATCTATTAGAGTGGGGTCACTGAGGGTCAAACACTGATATGGAGCCAGCAGACAGACTGCTGGTCAATATCTAATTAGAAGCATGAGAGAAGGGTGACAGCAGCTCCTCTCGTGCTTTCACCCACTCGCTGATCCTTTCTCCACCTCGCTGTATCACCTCCCACTGCTGTCTCCTTTTCCGTGTGCCCAATCCTGTCTGTCATCCATGTCTCTGTCTTTACTTTTCACCACATTTCTCTCTTTGTTTGAGGCTCGTCTCTCCCTCCCCTGCCAGCCACTGTTATTGTCTGTCTGCTGTGTGTGCGACATAAAGAGAAAGAACTTTGTCTCCATATTTATATCATCAGTTTAATCATGCAAATTCACAGGGGAGCAGGTGCACTGCTGAGCTAACAATGCTCCCTAAATGTGTATTTGCTGTGTTCAGTCACTCTCTGTGGAAAAAATTATCTACAACAGCAATAAAAAGTCTGACAGATGATTCACAAGCACCCATCAGTCTGTTGTCTTTGGAACAATGGTGCTAAATTACACTTGAATAGAAGGCAAATCTGTAACTTTCCATGTTATTCAACACCTCTGATCTCTGATCAGAGATATTTAACTGTTATTCAGTCTGAACAGGCACGTTCACATGTGTGTGTACACATGTATGAGCAAGCACTTCCTCTTTGTCATTTTCAGAGACGTGACACACGAGCACACACATGCCCAGGGTCTGTCTCAGAGGGGATGAGCAGCAGTACTTTTCCACTGCATCAGTCTCTGCTCCCTTACCCTCTGTCTCACCAGGCCTGCCCAGTCTTGCTGCAACAAGAGATTTGCTCACCTGTTCTTTTGTTGCAGAAGTGTGTGTGTGTGTGTGTGTGTGTGTGTGTGTGTGTGTGTGTGTGTGTGTGTGTGTGTGTGTGTGTGTGTGTGTGTGTGTGCTTGTAGTCCAGTCAAACAGCTACCTCGCTCTGACAGCCTACTCTCTGCTTGACATGCTTGAACGAGTGGTTTTATTGTTTGCTTTGAATTCAGCAGTGGTCGTTGAGAGCAGCACTCCCTCAATTGGTCGGCAATTTTCCCAAGATGTCTTGCATGTGTTGCTTCATGAATACTTTTTTTTTTCAGTTATGAGCACAACCAGAAAGGCAGGTCTTAAGTAACAATTGCATACAGACTAAATACGCAGAGACATGATTTCACAAGACTTTTGCACAAGAGCAGTACAATTACAGCTCAAGTGGAAAATTCACTGGCAGGCTAATCTTTATTACGCACACTGGTGTAACTGCAGGGGTGTATGTTTTGGTGCGGTCTGGGTGTGGGAGTTTCCATGTCAACATGTGCGGAGGACTCGGGATCTCGTTTCATACCCCCTCCCAGGTGCTTTTGTAAATGTGTCCGTTTGATTTGGATAAAGGGCCAACTTGTTTTAGACTAATTATGTTCGAGGTCAGATAAGCAGTTCATATCTAATTTACAATATCAGATTTAAATAAAGTGAGCAAGCAGGAGTGATCAACCCGGCTATACCACTAGAGGGTGTATTTTTCCCTGTGAACAACAGCACACATTCAGCACTTCATCATATTTAAGTTACAGGTTAACCTTTAACCTCGTTTTTTTTTATCGTTTGACACAAAATGACTGCTGTTATTGATTTATTAGTCGATAGGTATTGACTTTTCTGTTTGACTTGTGGGGATTTAATTTTGCAATCCCCTGCGTGGAATCAATACTGTATATTTCACTAAAATGATGTTTCACCAAGCTCAACTCCCCCGATGACCAGGTTGGATCAGTGAGCGAACCCACTTGCATCTCCTGGGAGGAGTTCTTGTCACTCCATGTCACCTCTGACCTTTGATGAAGCAGATTTGTATGGATGAGGCTCATCAAAGGTCAGACTACTCTCCTTCCAGACAACAGGCTAGAATTACAGCTATAGACTAAGGATCAGAAAATGCAATGATGGAGGAAATGAGGTTATAAATAGCTCACTTATGTGTAGTTAAACAAAGTGAGCCATCTTCTAAGGGGAGATTTACAGTAACTGGAATAATAGATTTGATGTAAAGCAGGCAGAGGAGAGTAAAGACAGCTGATGTGTCTGTGTCTGCATGTTTGCGTATACACGCAGTTTAATTTTTCTTGACATCAAAGTGGCTCTGATGGTTTTGTATTGTAGTGCATGCAAGAGTCTGGTAAGAAACGCTTTGATGAGTCTGCAAACTCAATTTTCCTGTTCGCTGTCTCTTTCTTATGTCGTTAATGCTCACTGCTGGAGAAGTAAATGAAAAGAAGCAAAAGTGATTTGTTAAGACCTCAAGGTTAAACCATTTGCACTAGATTACGTTTTGATGTGTCCATCAGGATCTTGTGGTCATTGAAGGGAGCATTATTTGATCAATGGAGATCAAATGGGTAGATCGGGCTGCAGGCACTTGCTTTGATGTGTTGATAATTCACTCCTAACCCAGTTTTATATTTGGTTGAGCAAAACCGAGCCACCCGGGTAATATGTTTTCAATTCTTTAACAATGCTTATAATAATAGGTTTTTATAGTCATGGGTAGGGCTGGGCCATATTATACCGTTCACGGTAATACCGGTATAATGTTAGGCAACGATAGGAAAATGAAATATCGCGATAGAATGGGAGTAAAACGCGCATGCGCAGTGCCTTTGTTTTCATACGCACATGGCCGATTGTTGAGTGAAACAGATGAACCAGAATTGGTTTGTAAAAATGGTGCAACTTCAGTGATGTGGAACTGGTTTGGTGTTTGTCCGTCAGATACACAACAAAGCACATTTTTTGCAGAACATGCAAGCGGCCGTTGTTATTGTCGTATTTGTCGGACTAAGATGCTCTTAAATCTGGGAGTAATCTGGGTCCTAAACTCCATATTCTTCAGGTCAAACAACACTGCAGCATCACTTAGAGTTAAAAACTGTCTAAATTCTTTCATCTTTAATAAAACGATCAGCATTGCTGCTTTACCAGGTGTAACTATAAAGTTTAACTTCCAGGCATCCATGAAAACAAAAGTTATTACATTTAACGGAGTTAGAAGTTAGCAGGAAGCTAGCGGAAGTTAGCTCGCTAGTTTCGCTAGTTACCTAAGCATGATATAGCATGTTCTGACTGAGAGATTTCTGAAAAAAATCAAACGTACAGCTCTGCTATCACTTTCAACATAAATGAAGACAGGAAACTAAACAGCAGTGACGTTTGTAGGGTTACTGAAGTTGGGCTAGCTGGTATATAATGATGTGCTACGTGATCGCTAGCGACACAGCTATGTTAGCATAACATAAACAGTGAAGCTGGAGGACGAACACTAACACTTTTCCACTTATAAAAGTTAACGTGAAGGTTCTTCATGGTTAGAGACAAATGCAATCGCATGGCAGGATGCTGTAAACGGACCAAACTTCAGTCAGGAGAACAACTGAGACAATCCATCCACAATACGAGGTTAGTCATTAATATACTGCAACAACATGGGAATAGAGCAGCTGCCAGAGAATTCAACATTAATGAATCAATGGTACAGAAGTGGAGGAAGCAAGAAGAATGAGTTTAATAAAGTCTGATTTCCGTACTGCTTTGTTTCGCTTAATGTGCCTTATAATCCTGTGCACCTTATGGTCCGAAAAATACGTACTGCACACTGCAGTTTAATGTTGCAAAGCACCTCTTTTTAACTTCAGTGGATATTATATATGGTTATGCTCAGGATATGTCAGCCCATTTCTACTGGAAATGCCTTTTGGTTAAACTTTCAGCAAGGAATTTGCATTTGCACTGTTACATTTTTATAAAGCTTTAATGTACATAAAAACCAGCTTCTTAAGTGAAAATAAATGGAAGGTTGTCTTTTTGCACTAGTAATGTTGTGGAGTTGTATTTTGTCTCGCATCAATTATATCGTCGGTTATATCGTTATTGCAAATTTTCAAATATATATCGTGATAAATATTTTTGGCCATATCGCCCTGCTCTAGTCATGGTTTTTTTGTTTAGCTAACATCATCCTCAGAAACTAAAAATACATTCCATTATTATACTACTACTACCTCTCAAGGCCACTTCACAAGGATACAACGTTATTAGCTGTGTAATGAAACAAATCTCATCAAGGCCAGTTCAGCAGTGCCCACTGCCTTTAATTCAGCTGCAGTCAGTGGCTGATTAATACTCTTAAGAAGGCTGCTCTCGCATCAGTTTACAAATGTTTTAATATTTTACAGAGCAGTGTAGTTTTTAATGGCTGCAATGAACATAACAAACCAAGAGGACAAGGGCTGCTCTCTCCATTATGTAGTCCACAGGCATGTATAAAACATGTGTGTATGTCTGTAGTATGGGAAGTCAGACAGTTACCGCGTTGCCACCACACAGGACAAAGATGACCGATCCCCCAAGAAGAAGAAGGGGGCAACCAAGGACATGGATGACCTGAAGAAGGAAGTACCCATTGTAAGTAAACGCTTCCTTTTTTTTCTAAGAATAGTTGTGTAGTAGTAACTGAGTTTTGCTATGATGTGTGTTAGAGGTTACAAAGTTTTACTGCACTCTGTTTCCATCTTGCTGGATTTAATTGTCACTGTTGAGTGGATCCATACAAAGGTCTGGTCATGGGCAAAGTTTTGGGTCAGTTCATTTTTGTTCCTGTCAGTCAAAGGATGATTGATCGCTCGTGTACAGTTTTCTTAGTATTTCAATATTTTTTTTAAATGATATTGTGAAAAAAATTTTTTAACATCCTTGAAATGATGCAAGGATGTATTTTTGAAGAAAATCTTCTTTCAGAATGGAATTAATGGAAGGAAACTGGGAGCATTTTTTCGGACAGAGAAGAAATTATTTTCCCATACACGCAAACGTTTTTGTATTTTTTGCTGGTAAGATGGGGGGACTTATTATGAGGAAGTCGGCATTTTCGTCCCACTTTTCAGCCCAAGAAACAGACACCATGGTCGCCATACCTGGCTGCCGTTACCACATACTCTTACCCCTCAGGTGAACTGCATGCATGGCGTTGATTTCTGAATTTCCTTCTGTAAAATAAAACGATAGATTTTTTTTTTTAATCAAAATTTCCTCCATGAATAAATTTAAGCTGGAGAGTTTTCCCCACAAAATATCTCTGCATGCAACTAAAAATACAAATAAAATTGTGAACTACAAGAAATTCTAATCTACATTGTTTTTATTTTTCTGTTTGTTGGGGGGGGGGGGGTTTAATAACAGACGGAACACAAAATGTCTGTAGAGGAAGTATGCAGGAAATTCCAGACTGACGTTGTCCAGGTAAGCTGACAACGCATTTTCCCAGTTTGCCACCAGGTGGCAGTGATGTACTTTTCATGGTTAGAGTTTGTGACAAAGAAATGCTTTTGAACTTCACATTCCGCTTCCTCTTGGTTCACTGCAGGGACTGACCAATGCCAAGGCCGCAGAGTTTCTGCTCAGGGATGGTCCCAATGCTCTCACCCCTCCTCCCACCACCCCAGAATGGGTCAAGTTCTGTCGCCAGCTGTTCGGTGGATTCTCCATCCTGCTGTGGACCGGCGCCATCCTCTGCTTTCTGGCCTACGCTATCCAGGCAGCTACCGAGGACGAGCCTGCAGGGGACAACGTGAGCAACCCACACACACATTCACAATTAGTCACACAGGTTTAGCCCAAACATATTCATCTGTGGCCTATTTGCACCTCATTAACATACCCGTCACACCTAAGACTCTTGGGTATTAACATAAATAACACCTCAGTAAATATTTTACACATACTGCACTCGGTGGCTTCAAACCACCCCCACTAACATATTTCTAATTTTCTCTCCTTTCAGTTGTACCTTGGTATTGTGCTCACAGCTGTCGTAGTCATCACCGGTTGCTTCTCATACTTTCAAGAGGCTAAGAGCTCTAAAATCATGGAGTCTTTCAAAAACATGGTACCTCAGGTAAATAGGTGCTTGATCCCGTACACACAGTATGAAGTAATCTATGCTGTAAGGACAGCAGAAGGCGTACAAGACATCCTTGTCGCCACTACTCATATAGCTTTTACTTGAAGAAACCTCCTGCCTCCATTCTACAGTAACATTTAACATGTCAGTCAAGGCCTGTGTGAAATTATCCCCCCACTGCTTCTCCCGTACCTCTCTACTTGCCACTCTGATTTAGAATAAAAGCTGTATACACAAAAAGAAGTTTCACAGCTGGTGCTTGCCAGTGTTTTGATTATAAATTAGTTACTTACAGTATGTAAGTCAAACATATCTACATGGAGCTCTCTAAATGTAATTCTGGCATCATGAATGACATTATTTCCTCTCCTGCAGCAAGCACTGGTGATCCGTGAGGGTGAGAAGGTGCAGATCAATGCTGAGGAAGTGGTGGCCGGAGATCTGATTGAAGTGAAGGGTGGAGACAGGATCCCTGCTGACATCAGGGTGACTTCAGCTCACGGCTGCAAGGTAAAGACACACACACACACACACACACACACACACAGTCACATGCATAGATTTATATTTTTGTTTCTTTTTATATGTAATAAAAAAAAAAACTTTAACATTTTCTTTTGCCCAACAGGTAGATAACTCTTCCCTTACAGGAGAATCAGAGCCTCAGAGCAGGTCACCTGACTGTACCCATGACAACCCCCTGGAGACCCGAAACGTTGCTTTCTTCTCCACAAACTGTGTTGAAGGTATTGTCACCATGGCAATAACACTGCATGCTATTGTTACCTTGCAGGACTGTGGTTGAATTTAAAGCCCTCAGTTTGAACAAAGCGATAAAGTTCACAGTTAAAGGGACAGTTCATCCCAGAAACTTTATGGGCTTTGAGGCCGTTTGGCAAGTTGATCAACTTTGGAGACTAAGTCTGTATAAACTAGAACATACTAATGTACTAGAACTAGATGAAGCAACAAACAAATAGAACACAGCCATAGTGATTTTTTTCTAGAAATCATGACACACTAACTAAAAAAAACCTCTCCAGAAACCCATAAACATTGTGAACAATTTTCTTCTGCTTGAAATATCCGACATGCAGCAAAGGGCCACGGGTCTGACTCCAACCCAGCGCTCTGTCCATGTGGCATGCCTGTATGGTTGCCTGCTTAACTACTGAGCTAAACTGGCGCCCCCTTACACACAATATTGTCACTGCGCTCTTTTTGTTGTTTTTTTTATCTCTAAACCCAGTTGTCAGGTCGTGATTTTAGAAATGTGTTTTTAAATAAAATTTAAAAAAATCACCTTCTAATGCAACAAAGTTGTTGCACCTGTAAGATTGTATTTCTGATTTTGTTTTTTGATCCACACCAGGCACAGCGCGTGGCATTGTTATTTGCACTGGAGACCGCACAGTCATGGGCCGCATTGCTACTCTGACGTCCGGCCTGGAAACCGGCAAAACACCCATTGCCCGCGAGATCGAGCACTTTATCCACATTATCACAGGAGTGGCTGTCTTCTTGGGCGTCACCTTTTTCATCTTGGCCATCATTTTGGGTTACACCTGGCTGGAGGCCGTCATCTTCCTCATTGGCATCATTGTGGCTAACGTGCCTGAAGGGCTGCTGGCTACTGTAACTGTAAGCAGGCAAACATTTGCTTTATTTTTGTATTTTTTTTGGTTACATATTTCAGTGCTTTCCTTTGCCTGATTCTTTTTCATGCCTTTTCACTGGTCTTTTTGGAGATTCTATAGAAATAAACACAAACCTTCTCATTTAGTGTGTTTAATATTGTGCTAGTGTATAATTAGATTACTTCTTTTAGAATCGAGGAAACGGATCAGTTGACAATTTGAACTCTGTGCAGGTATGTCTGACTCTGACTGCCAAGCGTATGGCTAAGAAGAACTGCCTGGTGAAAAACTTGGAAGCTGTTGAAACTCTGGGCTCCACCTCCACCATCTGCTCTGACAAGACCGGCACCCTGACCCAGAACAGGATGACTGTGGCCCACATGTGGTTTGACAACCAGATCCATGAGGCTGACACCACAGAGGACCAGTCGGGTAAGTGAAGGGACGGCATACGGGCAACACTGATGGCTCAAATATTTTTATAGTGTAAAAGAATTAAAAATGATTACTAAAAAAGTACAACATTTATTAATTCTCACTCTTACATTCCTTCTGCAGGTGCTGCATTTGACAAGAGCTCTGTGACATGGCTGTCTCTTTCTCGTGTTGCTGCTCTGTGTAACCGCGCACAGTTCAAAGCTGGACAAGACTCAGTGTCCATCCTGAAGCGTGACGTGGCTGGTGATGCCTCAGAGTCAGCTCTGCTGAAGTGTATCGAGCTGTCATGCGGCTCAGTCAGGATGATGAGGGATAAGAACAAGAAGGTGGCTGAGATTCCCTTTAACTCCACCAACAAATACCAAGTGAGTAAAGGGTCAATATGGGTGAACACATATGTTATACACTGAGTAATGCATCAGATGGTCTCATTTTAATGCTTATCTCTGTTCTCCTCCCCTAGCTTTCTGTTCATGAAACAGAAGATCCAAATGACAACCGCTACTTGCTGGTGATGAAGGGAGCCCCTGAGAGGATCCTGGATCGTTGTTCCACCATCATGCTGCAGGGCAAGGAGCAGCCTATGGATGAGGAGATGAAGGAAGCTTTCCAGAATGCTTACATGGAGCTGGGAGGACTGGGAGAGAGAGTACTGGGTAAGGTCGAAAGAGGTGAAGGTGGATACTGAGGGAAAGATTTGACAGTGTGGCCATCAGGTTCAAAATCCCAAAATACACATTTTATTTAATAACAATTTATTTGAAAATGTAGCTCAGCTAAAAGTATTATTTTAGTCATCGCTTAATAGCCTATCGGATGCAGTGTATGTTCTTCTGGGCAAAGGATTGAGTGTTTACTTTATTATAAATGTGGTTTCCATTCATGATCATAGATAAAACGATAAGTCCGAACTTTCTTCATGCCAGGCTGCAGATGTTCCATCCATCCACTGTTATTCATTTATTTTTTACATCCATTTAACTGGTTTCAAAGAATGTTAGTACTCAGCTTAATTGTGATTATGGTTTTCACTATAATCGAGCAAGTCCTGTATCTGTGGACGCATCCATCCTGTGCTGTCTTCTGAAGGTCATGTTAACGTCCACTTTCCAGGTTTTGAATTCATTGTCAAACTGGTTTTTAAAAGACTGATCAAATCCAAATTGGACATTAATATATTTTTACTACACATCTGTACTGTGTTTATTTGTTTAATCAGCATCAGCCGCAGAGAGTTTCTTCCTGAGGGTCCTTAACACACTCAATCCAACACGTAAACACAAAACAAGGCTCTCCTCTTGCAGACAGCATTGAGTTTCATGTAGACACTTCCTTACAAGATACTTTTACTTTAGTTCCAAGAATAGGGTTATAAGAAACGACACTTTAGAACTAAACAGCACACATCCGCTGTATTCATTATCCAAACTATTTTAATTACAATTCTTACTCATTTTGATACACACCGTTTTATATTTGACTCGTTCTTTAGGAGCTTAATTTAACATAAACTGGTAGGAACTTCCACCCAATCTTTGCCTGTGAATTACTGTTTTCTGTATATTACTTGTTTTAGCTTTTGGCATTGTAAAGTTATTTTCTGTTGCAAATCATTTTTCACAAGTATGTTCATTAAATGTGAAAACAGTCTTCAATATAATTAGCAATTACCCATCCTAGATTACTATTCATATCACTGACATGATTTCTGTAAGAGCATTATGATGCACGTCGTGAAGATTTATTTTTAATTTGTTGAAATGTTTTTTTTATTTCTTTTACAATAATTGCAATAATCCAGCTGTGATAGAACCACTGCATTTAGAACCTCTGGTTTTATTCATTTTAAACCTCTTCTAACCACCCCCACCCATTCTACTTACAATGTTATTAATGTTGTAAGTTAATTTCTAACATACTGTTAAACCTAATAGTTTTGTCTCTTACACATTTTCAATAGGAAAATGTAAATCACGCGTGATGTAATGAAGGTTTTATACTTTTAGAAGCTCAAAAAGCCCTATTTGAAATAAGGAAATTAACTGTGACAAACCTTGAAATAGCTAATTCAGCATCGCATACAAGAATTGTTTTTTAGAATTATAATACCGCTCTCTTGGTTTTCACTAATTTATAAGACTTTAACATAATTTTTTTAAATTATGATCTGTTGAATTGTTGAAACAAAACACTTTAAGGTTATAACTGTAGGAAGGAGTGTAGTGGAATTTATTTAAAAAGTAGAGAAAGCCACAAAAAATATGCTTAAATAAACAGCATTAAATCACACATTTCCCCTCGCTCCAGGTTTCTGCCACGTGCTGCTGCCAGAGGATCAGTATCCCAAGGGCTTTGCCTTTGACACAGATGATGTTAACTTCCAGACAGATAATCTCTGCTTCGTCGGCCTCATATCCATGATCGACCCTCCCCGTGCCGCCGTGCCTGATGCTGTTGGCAAATGTCGATCCGCTGGTATCAAGGTAAGCTGTTTAGATTCGACACAAACTTCTTTGATCTTTAAGTTTAGTCTATTGTTGCCAATAAGAAGTCATTTTTGTTGTTCTCGTAGGTCATTATGGTTACTGGTGATCACCCGATCACAGCCAAGGCCATTGCCAAGGGAGTGGGCATCATCTCAGAGGGCAACGAGACAGTGGAGGACATCGCAGCTCGTCTCAACATACCTGTCAGCCAGGTCAATCCCAGGTAAGGAACGTTTACAGAAAAACACACACCAAACAAGCAGCAAGTCTCACAAAGTGAAAGCAAATTTGTTCTAACATTTTAATGTCTGTGTTTAGAGACGCCAAGGCCTGTGTGATTCATGGCTCAGACCTCAAGGATCTGTCTCAGGATCAAATGGATGACATCCTGAGGAATCACACGGAGATTGTGTTTGCCAGGACCTCACCACAGCAGAAGCTGATCATTGTAGAAGGATGCCAGCGACTGGTTGGAACATTTTTAATATACTAGCTTGAAAAGAAGCTACAGGTTTTCTTTTTGGAAATGTACTGGCTTAATTCCAGGGACTGCACTTTGAGGTGTCAATATACTTTTGGAACAGCAGATGGCACTATTTGACCACTGGATGAAGAGCTTGCTTTTACACAGGGAGATAGATTGTATTAAAAATGGCCATGTTTTTTCATTTTTAATGCAAAAAATGCACCAGCCTGTTAATTGTTTTTTTTACAGTTCCCAAACTTAACATTTTTCTGTACAAAAGCTAGAAAAATAATGTTAAAAAGAAGCTTTAAAATGAAATGTAAAATAAAGTGGTAACAATCGAAATATAAGCACATACAATATTATATTTTTTTATGTATTAATGTATATTTAATTTATTACATTTATTTAATAATCTTGGAAATTAATAATTTCAATAAACTATCTTAAATTCAATAAAACCTTGCTAAATAATAATGAAAACATGTAACAAAAACAGCTTTTTTAGTCGCTTTAATTAATGTCGTTCTCTTTCATTTGTCCTAGGGTGCTATTGTAGCTGTGACAGGTGATGGTGTGAATGACTCACCTGCACTGAAAAAGGCTGACATTGGTGTTGCCATGGGAATCTCAGGCTCCGATGTGTCCAAGCAGGCTGCAGACATGATCTTGTTGGATGACAACTTTGCTTCTATTGTCACTGGAGTGGAAGAAGGTGAGACGACCCAAAGGAGAGCACTGAAAGACTAAGAACGCTTAAATCAATAAAAAGTTTTGTAATGAGAATCTGAGAAAGGACGTAGGAGGAAGATAGAAATGACGCTTTAGAAAGAAAAGAGATGCTAATGGTTGTTGTTTTTTTCCAATAAAAAATGTCTTGCATGAAAGCAGAGTTCCCGATCATCCACTTGCATTTGAGATGTCAGAGTTGGACAGAATGTGACGTGAACTGTCTACTGTTTCTTTTTTTTTCTTTTCTTTACCCTCTAGGTCGTTTGATCTTTGATAATCTTAAGAAGTCCATTGCCTACACCTTGACCAGCAACATCCCAGAGATCACCCCCTTCCTATTTTTTATCATAGTCAACATCCCATTGCCACTGGGAACCATCACAATCCTGTGTATTGACCTGGGAACTGACATGGTAAAGAGCTTAAAAAGACTCTTTGTTTAGTATGATGAATGCAGCATTATGCTCACATACAGCTCATACTGTCTTCTTCTTCTACTCTCAGGTTCCAGCCATCTCTCTGGCTTATGAAGCAGCTGAGAGCGACATCATGAAGCGCCAGCCTAGGAACCCAGCCAGGGACAAGCTGGTGAATGAGAGGCTTATCAGCATTGCCTATGGACAAATTGGTGGGTGAACTGAAGATTGTGACTGTTGATCCAGGCTGTGAATTGTCTTTGATGTGGATTGAAGTTAGATCTGAGTTGCCTAGAAGTCATTTTGTTGTAAAAATCACTTTATCCCCCTCTTTTTTTCTTTTTTTTTTTGTTCACAAAAAACAATAGTTGGATTATCTTTGGAGCTGTCCTCGGTGTTTAGGGGGGAAACTCGATTTTGGAAATCAGAAAACTTAAAAATTGGTAACTCAATCTCGATGTGTGTACATGTTTCTTAAGGTATGATCCAGGCTCTGGGAGGATTCTTCGCCTACTTTGTCATCTTGGCTGAAAATGGTTTCCTGCCCTCTCAGCTAGTAGGCATCCGACTCAACTGGGACGACCGCAGTTTAAATGACCTGGAAGACAGCTATGGCCAGCAATGGGTAAGTGTGTAGTAGGTGCAAATTTTGTGTTTTCACATTTTGCTACTACATCTTACTATTATGGTTCTTTCCTGCCTTCACAGACATATGAACAGAGGAAGATCGTGGAGTTTACATGTCACACAGCCTTCTTTGTCAGTATTGTGGTAGTGCAGTGGGCTGATCTCATCATCTGCAAGACCAGGCGCAACTCTGTCTTCCAGCAAGGCATGAAGTAAGTCAAAGAGCTATTCACTGCATTATAGTTGTCTTTTCTGCCAATCTTATCAGCATAGAAAAAAAATCTAGATTATACTAATCGAGATGTATGTATGTATCTATGTAGATATGTTTTTGGCTTTAATATGTGGCTTTTCTAAACGCAGGAACAAGATCTTGATCTTTGGCCTGTTTGAAGAAACAGCCCTGGCTGCCTTCCTGTCCTACTGCCCAGGCATGGATGTGGCACTCAGGATGTATCCTCTAAAGTGAGTTTCAGCAACACACAGATAAATACATTGAAAGATCAAGTTGTCTGGTTACTTGATTGCAGTTCTCTCGTTCTCTCCACAGGCCTACCTGGTGGTTTTGTGCATTTCCTTATAGTTTTCTCATCTTTGTTTACGATGAAGCTCGAAAACTCATCCTTCGCCGGAACCCTGGAGGTGAGCGAAGTTTTTGTTTTTTTTTTCATTTAAGTGGGCGTTTCTTTAAAGGTCTTTGGTTCATCAGGCCTAAGATGAGAGTAGTTTAACTTTTTCTGTAGATTATAAACAAAAACAGAAATTTATTAATTATTGAGCAGCAGTTAAGTAACGCTAAGCTAACTGGTGACAGTAGGGTCTAAATATCAAAATAATTTCCCAAGTTACTAAAAGCACTGTTTATTTACTGTGTTTTTTCTCTACTATTTGTGCTTCAGGTTGGGTGGAAAAGGAGACGTACTATTGATCGTTGGAGCACTTTCGCTCAAGCCCCTCACATCTTCCACTTGTTTCTTCCCCCGGTCATTCCATCCTCGGCAAAACACATCTCCAGATGTCCCGCCCCCTTAAAGACAAAAAGCGCTTTGAAGCAATTTTCATCACAACTGCCCCAAAGATTAAAAACAGCAAAAGCACCTTTACAACTTTCTACATCGACCTGCCCTCTTTCTCCCCACCTCCTATGATACTCTTTGCATGTGTTCTCTCACAGCTGTGTACATAAACCAATATATCTACCAAACGGCAGCTGCATATTGTGTATGTAGATCTGAATGAGCTAATGATACAAAGGGAGTGTCTATGCTCTGCAAAAAAAAGGGCCATCCAGCTCCTTCTCCTCCCTGTTCTTCTCCTCTTCACCAACATCGTCTTTCTGTACACCTTTGTCCCCTCTTTCACCTCCTCGCCAACCCTTTGCTTGTCCTCCAATCACACACAGATATACACGTCACACAGTGAGATCCCATCACCGGCACTACTTCGACTGCCACCTTTCGCCTCCTGTCTGTGGAGGACCATTGGAGTGGTCATTTTCCTGGCATTCTCACCGCGTCCATTTTCCTCCTCTTCTGTTCCTTAATGTCCAATGTTGTTTGTTTGTTTTTTAATATGTGGGGTAGGGGGGCAATTTTGATGATTTTAGTTGTTTTGTTTTTTTTATTTCAAAGTTGGGAGGGGAGGTGTGTGAAAACGACTTATCCTCATTTAGGCGCACTGAAGCACACCGCACGGCGTCCCGTCCACCGCCCCTCCCTCTCTGTATCTCACACCCCTCCCCTCCCTTCCCTCCTGCCCCGTTTGTCTCCGTTCGTGTGCACTGTGTGAACCATTGTCCTCGTTAATAGCTATTACAGTACACCTCCCTCCCCCCCAAGTTGGTAAATACAACTCAATCTTTCTGTGTGTTCTAGGAAATCTATATAATTCTATACTGAATTTAAATGAAACAATAAAGGAAAAAAAATGTTGAACATCAGCTCCAGAAAGACATTCATGAGGACGATCAACAAAATTGGTGAGGTAGGGAAAAAAAAGTGAGAGACACTGTATCTGTCTCTCTTTTTGTATTTGATTTGGTTTCAGTTACTTTTGCTGGTTTCTCAGGAGGCTATTCGAACATGTAACAGCAAAGCAGGGCTTTATGGTAATTAAGTTGTGTTTTTACCAAAAGATAGAAGTCGCCAACCAAGACTTTGTGGTTCCTGTCACTGCAGGCGTGCCGGTATGATGTGGTGAAGTGTGCTGTGGAGTGGTGAGTGGAGATGATAAGCCCATGTGCCCGGGTCTGTGTGCATGTATGTGTTGGAGACCAGTGAAGGGCCAGCGGCCTCGGGCTGGGTCCGTCTTAGGTGGCTGAATGGGTTGAAAGTTGAGAATTAAAAAAAAAAAAATACACAACTAGTAGAACATGTGTGTCAAATAAATGAAACCAACACCAATAAAACATCTAGACATTTAATACAACCTAGATCTGTCTGCGTGTCTTTGTCTGATTTACTTTTTGTACCACGGAAAACTTTACTTTTGTTTAGTTGCTCATATTTTCTCTTATTTTATATTTTTGGCTCAAATGAGTGCTGCTCATCAGCGTTGGGTGCACACACAATAACAAATCCTGCAAGAAAAATTACTTTGTGTTCAATAGATTCCACCGGAAGCACCGAACTGCATCTTTGAACTGGCAGTTTGTCGCCTGCATTCATGAATACTGACCAGTTGACATCATATTACTTCTACCTCCTGTCTATATTTGGCATTCACTAACAATTTTAGTAGACTACAACCCCTGAATATTGCACCTATATTTGATTTCAGCAAATATATATTCAAATTTGTAATAAAGCAATTTCCTCATGATGAAATATATGCAAAACACCATAACCCTTGCCCATGCAGTACAGCTTTATGCATATGAGAGTATAGCTCAGCAGAATATGACAGAATAAGAATTTTAGGATGAGATGCCATCTAGTGTTGCAAATATATGCACTTCAACCTACAAGACTGCATAATGTTCAAGTGCCATAGGGGGACGAGTTGGCGGCAGCCCAAGGTAATGCACCAAAACCACTCTATACGTGTCAGCATTGTCTGACTCCAACATAAATGAGTTCAGAGATGAGGCTCGCTCCCAGCAGGACCAACATACAAAAGGATTATTGCTCCATTTCCCAAAAGCCATCTCTTTTAAGTTGATAGAAAAATAATAGTGCAGGCAGTGTGTTTATATGAAGGAACAGCTACTTTTTTGATTAATATGCTACATTTCTGCAAATAAAGCAGGTCACCTTCAGGGAATGGGCTGCAAATGTGCTGCCTCGCTGAGCCACAGGGGTCATATATTTTAAATGAACTGCTTATTGCCTACCAAGTACACAAATCAAATAAATTATACATAATGTAATGCTCTATAATGTGAGAATTAAGTTTTGTGTGAGGTCACTTTGCCACAAAAAACAAAAAAAAAAAGAAAAAAATTAGGACACGTCCCTTTGAGGGAGAAAGACAAAAACTTTGTGGAATCGTTTCACTACCCAATGACAAATGCACGCATGCATACGCACACAAACACACACGCGCACCCACTTTCTGTCACTCTCCCTGACAAACACGCTCACGCTCTCACCCTCGTTCTAATTTCCCCCGTGTCTCTGCAGTGAGCTCACTGCAGTGCGACTCCCCCCCCCCCCAACCCGCTCCTCGCCACCCTACGTATAATAGAATATCGATCGCTTGCCTTTGCCGCAGTGTGTAAGCGAGTGCTCCTGTGGACGAGTGTGTGTCTGACTGGGGCCCTCCAAGGTCATCGCTATGGCAACCTGAGCATGGGGTCCTTTCGCTGTGCTGTCACAGAGCACAGGGTCACAGGGGTCACGTGAAAAGGGGGACAAGAGGGGGTTGGTGAGCGCTGCGGTGCTTGGTATACTGGAGGCAGAGGAGAGGAGCCACAAGGGCTGGAAGTGCCCTATTCCACTGTGTATTCAGACTGGAGCAGAATAATGAGAACATGTACAGACCTAAGTGTTGCCGAGGGACACCGAGTTCACTACAACTCCTGCTATGCATGCACAAACAAAAGTCAACTGTAATAGCAACTTTAGAGGAAATAAATATGACTTAATTTGATACTGAATAAAAAAGAAAGAAAGCGAGAATTGGATAAGCTGGCCTTAAGAGTTTATTGCACTGAGAAAATATAGATACAAAACACCCAACTTTTATCAGAATGTAAACGAACGATGAATTTCAATAAAGTATTTTACATTTATGTGACGTTACACCTCCAAGTTCCAAGCTAAACATGTATACATGCTAACAAGGAAATTATAAACCCGATGTAAAATACCATGATTAAGTACTGACCTTTAAAGATGTGTCATCATCAAGCCATCTATATAAGAAGCCTATCTGAATGACCAAACCTGCATTTGTCTAATAATAATAATAATAATAATAATAATAATAACAATAATGATAATGTGTGTTTGTGCATTAGCATTAGATACAGTTTTAAAGCTTTAAATTGCACTTTCCTTTGGAAACAATCACAAATTCTCTTTAGAAGTGTAAAGATTACATTGATACATATTATTCAAATCAGAGAGAATGTATTAGCCCAAATATCTACAGCAGAGAGCACAGCACAGATAGCCCATTAAGATATAAGCTGAGAAATATTGCAAGGAATGAAAGACTATTTTACACAAATCAGAGGCATCCAAGGTTTAAAATGAACATAGAAGGCATATAATCTGCATTAATGTGTGGTTAGACTTACGTTCAGAAATCCATTTTTGTGTTCTATGGCAATTTATGTGCTTAAATGAGCTTCAAAAAGCTGTCAGTAACATGACAAGGTACATTCTTGATACCATGGTAAGGGGTTAAAACACAGGGAATTTAACAAGCTAAGAAACATATATATGAACAGCTCTTCCTGTGTGCAAACATATTTGCAGGGTCAACATGATGACTGATAGCCAACCGGCGCCTGCTGATAGTTTAGCCTGGTCTTTATACGGGCTCCATGAGGAGCTCTTCCATGTCCGATCCCTCCAGCTCACGAAACGCAGCATGAGAGCCAATCACAAACAGCGTTGCTCCTGGGAAGATGAATTATAGCAGTATAAAATGGATGTGAAGAGAAAGTAACAAAGAAGAAGGTTTTTCTTACAAATGCGTGAACAAGATTTAGGTTCCACTATTAGAGAAATGTTAGCATTGCAGACAGCAGTGGAATATGTTCAATTATATTTCCAAAATCAGAAAAACACAATAACATTTTTTTTTAAAACAAAGATTCAAAAGAGTAACACAGAACAAGTATAATGTGGTTTGGTTTACCAAGAACCCAAAACACGGCAGCGCCAGCTCCGGCTAACCAGAACGCAGGCAGAGAAATGGCTCCAGCCAGGCTCATCTGGTGAGGCGTAGTCAACTCTTTGCCTGGTTTGAGAACACAAATTATGACAGCAATTAAAGATTCCATAAAAATGAAGATGTTTTATTTTCTCAAACTAAAATCTTACATAAATTTAGCTTATTCTTCACTAAACTGACATCTTTTGTGGTTTACTGAGAACTGTAATAGTAGAGAACAATAATTTGCGGGCAGAAACAGGTTGCTTCATTAACCCATTGATTTAATTTCTATACACAACAATTTAGAGGTAATAAATAAATAAATGAATGAATAAATAAATAAATAAATAAATAAAGATATACAACTTAAAGTTTGATGTTTAATTATTCGAGCTAGCTTTATCTTAAAGTAGCTGCTCAAAAAAACATTTATATTACTTGCCGGTGATTCAACAAGCAGGTATTTATGTGATTGTCCGAGTTATTTGAGACACTTTTACTCACCGAGCACAACCAGTTTAGACTCCAAAGATTTGATGTGAATGATGTAAAAGGCACCGGCAAACACAGCCAAGGCGATCAGTAGCATGGGCGAGCTGATGCTGAAGAGAGGAAACATCAACAGTCCAATCGTTTATTACAGTGTATCAGCTGAAAATTTCATTCCTTTCTTTCTTTTTTTACTACCGCTTCCCTTTTTCC